AGATCGCTTCACAGCATCACGGACCACGCAACGCACAGCACGCACGAAACGCACGCACAGGCACAGCACACACCACACACAACGGGCAGCACCCCGCCGCACGCAACCACACCACCACACCACACGTCGGCCGTGAGAGCTTACGGAGGCATAGTGGCCGCTTCCACAGCAATCACGGACGGCCCCGTCTCAAGCACGCACGCACGCACGCACGCACGCACGCACGCACGCACGGCACACACGCACGCACGCACCTGACGCCAGGAGCAACAGGCAGGCAGCACACACAGCACACACACACACACACACACACACACACACACGTCCGCGTAAGAAGCTTACGGAGGCATGTGCCGCTTCGCAAACAGCGTACGGACGGCCGTCTCAAGCAACGCACGCACAGCAGACACGGCACGCCGGCACGCACACACACACACATCACACACACACGACGTCGCGCGCAGAGAGCTTACGGAGGCATGTGCCGCTTCCAACAGCGCACGCGGACGGCCACCAGTCTCGACACGGCTGCTTTCCCTTCCCCATCACGCTCTCCACACATTGGCTCCCTGCAGCCATCGCCCAGTGTCCCGACAGCACCCCAGCGCACGGCTCCGCGAGCGTCAACGATCGCAACCCCGCCGTCACCTGCAAGCACCAAACCGGCAATAGGAATAAATTTCAATTTATTTTTCGGGGCTACTTTTCAAGACTCGCGTGCATGAAATAGCAATATTAAAATTTGGTTTGCAATGACTCTATGGCAAATTTAACGGGGGCTCTTTGGCTATTTCGCAGCTCTTTTTTGCGCATTTCGGGCGGGGCCTAAATCGCCCCGAGCCCCCCTGTATTTTTTTTTCAACTGAACAACTAACGACGCGTAAAAGAGCGAGACGCGAGACCTGCGAGAGCGGAACAGGAACGTCGTGAACGAAATTTAAAGGAAAAATCCAAACTGAACAACGCAGTTAACTCTTGAAGCTTTGACCGAATTCTGTGTCCACGGGATTACCTTCCCTGGTATAAACCGCAAATTGCTGAGAAACGAATAAAAGTTTTGGACGGTCGCCGGAGACTAAAGATTAATCGGGAGCGACTGTACAATCGCATGGCAAAATTGAAGCTGTGGAGGCAACACGAGTGAATCGCTATTTACTGGCAGTTGTTCTTGTGAGGAAAGGAAAGACAACGGCACAAACGGGAGAGGAAACGAGAGGAAAGGAAGAGGAAAGAAGGGCACGAGAGGCGGAGAGAGAAAGGGAGAAGGAGAGCGAGGGGGAGAAGGAGAGAGAAAGGGAGAGGGGAGAGCGAGAGAAGAGAGAGTGAGAGTGAGGGGGAAGAAAGAGAAAGAAAGGGAGAGGGAGAGCGCAAGAGAGAGAGAAGAGCGAGAGTGAGGGGGAGAGGAGTAGAGAAAGGGAGAGGGAGAGCGCGAGAGAGAGAGGAAGAAGAGAAAGGGAGAGAGAGAGCATGCGAGAGACGAGAGAGCGAAGGGGAAGGCAGAGAGAAAAGGGAGAGGCGAGCGCGAGAGAGAGAGAGTGAGGGGAGAAGCGCGAGAGAGAGAGGAGAGAAGCGAGGGGAGTGGGAGAGAGAAAAGGGAGAGGAAGAGAGAGAGAGAGAGAGTAAGGGGAGAGGGAGACGAGAAAGGGAGAGGGAGAGCGCGAGAGAGAGAGAGAGTGATGAGGGGAGCAGCGGCACGAGAGAGAGAGAGAGCAGAGGGGGAGTGGGAGAGAGAAAGGGAGAGGAAGAGAGAGAGAGAGAGAGTAAGGGGGAGAGGGAGAGGGAGAGCAGGGAGGAGGAAGATAGGAAGACCAGAAGAGAGAGAGCGATAGAGACTCTACCTTCTGTGCCTCGCGTGAGAAGTAAGCTGTTATGCATAGTACTTGAGGCCGAGCAGCACGTCTTTCGTCCGTGTGATTCTAATCTCCATCTCCCGACTGGTCAATCCACAGCTTTGCCAACGATGATGTTGTGTACCGTAGTCATAACCTGTTACCCACACAAAACAGCAAACACATGTGTGTATAAGAAGGGAGGCAGAACGGCAAGTTGATACAAGTTGCAATTTCGGGCCATTGGCAGTGCTAGATTAGATAATAAGATTGAAGAAAGAGAGATAAGATGAGATTCATACATATTGTATTATTATTTCATTACTTAGTTTAGTTTTATTATATTTAATACTTTATATACTACAAAATCTTGTACTATTCTTGCCCCGCACGTGTAGTATAACTTTGATATACATGCGAACAACAAGCCCTATACCGCAGTATACAGGCTCTGGCATACTGATGATACGAGCAGTGCTTCTTAACACTGTTTGGACCCCAACGACCAATCAGACCCATCTTTGTCAGTACCGTGAAACCCCGAAACAAATATTTTTTTAAAACAGCCAGCGATTTATATCGAATTTAAAATGGATTTGTTTTCATTTATGACACCGGTTCATGAACCTCCGGAAAACCCAAACGACCCCCAGGTTGAAGAACCGCTAGTTAGTATTTGATATACATGAACAACTTTGGAACCAACAGTCCCTATGCAGGGTCCACATACTGATATAGAGCGAATACCTGAGATGTAACAGACACGGGGCCCGCCGCGTGAGAGATGTGTAGTACTTCTTGCTCCACGTGTAGTGATCTCCTGTCGGCCGTGAAACTCGAGGTGGTTTCGTACCCTTACGGCTTCACGCACAGATACTTTGCCGTAAAAACTTTACCTGCATTATCGAAAAGTCCTTGTAAGAGCTGCAGCCGGGCGCCTCCGTTAGTTGGGCGGCTTATCGCGGTGATGCTCACCTACGCACAACGTCACGGCTAATGCAGCTGCAAATGGGGGCGGCGCAGGGGGGTGGGGGAGGGGCAAGGGGAGACCGACGGGCCAAGGGTGCAGGTCGTGCTCCGCAAGGGAGAGTGCGCGCGTAGCGAGGGCTCAAAACGCTCAAGAACGCAGTGGCACCAGCCACGCGGCGGTCGTCTGGCCGCAAAACTCGACGAACATTCGCAACAATGCTACGGCGAGCGATGGCACGCCACATGCCATAGCTTCCCATAGCTTCCCATAGCTTCCCATAGCTTCCCATGGCTTCCCATAGCTTACCATAGCTTACCATAGCTTCCTATGGCTTCCCGTAGCTTCCCATGGCTTCCCAGCCAGCCTATGCTAGTTCACATAGGTTCCAATAGAGAATCCTGAATAAGACAGAGAGAAAGCATGAGAGAGAGAGAAAGGGTACGAAAAGGGGAGCGAGAAACAGGGAGAGAAAGGAGGAGTGAGAAACAGCGAGAAAGGAGAAGGTTGAGAGTGAGGGGAGAGAGATTTTGAAAGAGAGAGAGAGAGAGCGAGCGAGCCAGGACTAGGGAGTGGGCTGGTGCTTGCAGCCAGCGGCGTTGTTGGCTTCTTGTAATGATTCACAATTGTATACGAAGCTTACTTATGTACACAGGGTCTTAGGAAATCGCCTGCACTGCCATTATTTCTCACTTTTCGTTTGATTAACAAGTATCTCACTATCACACAATATCTCTATATCTCACACAAGTATCTCACTGATATCTGCCAAACACAATGGCATGGTGAAGCAGGGCAAGATAGATCCGCCATGTCTTCCGTGTTTGTTTTTCGCGTTCTCGTCATTTCATCGCTGCGTTGCCATGGTTACAGGCGAAGCTGAAGCTGGAGGAGAAGCAGCGTATTCGGCGCCGAGAGCGAGAGCTGGAAGCGGAGCAGGCTGCTTCCTCCGACGGTACGGCTTCTTGCTTCGACCTTCTCAGCTCGGGAAGTAGCTCCTGTCACCTTCCTCCTGCTGTGGTCTTTCCTCCACCCATCCCTTCTGATGTCTGCTGTCTAGCTCCACTCCTGCTCGCAACCTTGCCTTGTGTGTTCTACCCAGACCCCCCCCTCTCCCCCGCCGCATTCTGTGTGGTCCACCTGCAGGGTCCGCTCCGCTCAACTCCTTCATGTGAGTGTGTACTACATAGTGTATACTATATAGTGCGCATACTACATACACTAGCATTACCTGCTTGACTGCATGCTCTTAGTCTGATGTGTCACCCTGCGCGCCCCCATTTGCAGCTGCGTGACGTTGTGCGTAGGTGAGCCATCACCCGCCGATAGCCGCCCACTACACGGAGGGCGCCGGCTGGCAGCTCTACAAGGACTTTTCGATAAGCAGTAAGTTTTACGGCAAGTATCTGTGCGTGAAGCCGAAGGGTACGAACCACCTCGAGTTCACGGCGACAGGAGATCACTACACGTGGAAGAAGGTACTACACATCTCTCACGGCAGCGGCGTGTCGTGCTTACATCTCAGTATTCGCTCTATATCAGTATGTGGACCCTGCATAGGGCTTGTTGTTCAGGGTTGTTCGTGTATATCAAAGTTACTACTAGCGGTTCTTAACCTGGGGGTCGTTTGGGGTTTTTCCGGAGGTCATGAAGGTGTTATAAATGAAAAAAATCCATTTAAATTCTATATAAATCGGGCTGGTTTTTTAAAAATATTTGTTTCGGGGTTCACGGTACTGACCAAGAATGTCTGATGGGGTCGTGGGGCCAAACAGGTTAAGAAGCACTGCTCTATATCAGTATGTGGACCCTGTATACTGGTATAGGGCTTGTTGTTCGCATGTATATCAAAGTTACTACACGTGCGGGGCAAGAATTGTACATTTACTAGTATATAAAGTATATAAATATAATAAAAACTAAACTAAAGTAAGAAATAATAATACAAATATGTATGAATCTCATCTTATCTCTCTTCTTCAATCTTATTATCTAATCTAGCACTGCCAATGCCGAAATGCAACTTGTATCAACTTGCCGTTCTGCTCCCTTCTTATACACACATGTGTTGCTGTTTGTGTGGGTAACAGGTTATGACTACGGTACACAACATCATCGTTGGCAAGCTGTGGATTGACCAGTCGGGTGAGATGGAGATTAAGAATCACAGGACGAAAGACGTGTGTCGGCTCAAGTACTATGCATACAGCTACTTCTCACGCGAGGCACCCAGGAAGGTAGAGTCTCTATCGCTCTCTCTCTCTCTCTGTCTTCCTA